GGACCGGGCCCCGCGGTGGTCGCACACGCGACTCGGAGGTACCGGCTTTGTAACGCATCTCGCGGATTAAAGCCCGACCGAGCACGCAGGAGGTGCTGCTGAAACCGGGGAGGGAGAGGCGGGCGGAGAGGCTGCGCCTCTTCTGGCGTTTTTCTTGAAGTGCCACTTGTCGCTTTAAATGCGGCTTTAGCCCGACAGGTCACATAACGCTGCTCTAGGGACAGGCCCCGTGGGGACGACAGGCGGAGGCGAGTTACCCAGCCCCGCCGGCCTAGGAACAGCTTACCGGGCTCGCTCAGTGCTGCCGCGGTCCCGGCCCCGTAACGGCTGTTCCCGGCACTGCTGAACACCCGAAACCTTAAAACTAAAAAGCTTAAGGGAACAGGAGGCGCTGCCCAATGTTGCTGTAAGAGACTCTTCCCCAGATCCATCTTATTCTTGAGAAAGGGCTTGGCAAAGCAGCACTATATAGACACGTTCAGACAATCAGTGCCAGCCCAAATGCACCCACGCGAGTCACTTATTTTCAAAAACACATTCTGTAAATACTTACCATGAGTTTAATCACTCAGTACTCCACAGACGAATACAGAAGGGCAATGTAAGATGCACAACTACACACACTTGAGATCTGAAGAGTTAAATTGTTGTGGGTTTTTTTTTTTTAAAAAAAAGGGAGAGCTTCACAAAAAAATATTTTTAATATGTTTTACCAGAACTTTTCACTTTTCCTGTTACATAGAAAAAAAAGACGAGTTTGGTACATGGGGGCTAAAACCAACCAGTGTTCTCCCCTGGAACAGATAATTCTTATGACCCAACTCCATTTTCTTGGGCATTTTAAAACAAAGAAACAACTATTTTTCCTCCCAAAGCACAGTATTTCTTCAGCAGCAATGGAAATGGGATCACAGCAGCTTAACTTGACCTTTCTATAAAGCTTTATATAAACCAGTGATTTATGATGACAACACTGTCTTTGAAAGAAAGAGCGGCAGTCAGACATCGATGCAAACATGGAATGATTAGGTCATAAACATATGGCACTTAAGATAGCTTATTTGAAAGGCACCACCACAGCAGAGTGGCCAGTTGTACTATATGCCCAAAGAAAGAAGGTTTCTTTCTGAAATTTATAAAACTATTTAAAAAAAAATTATTTGTACCCAAAACATGTGCTTTTAAAAAAATATGAACTGTGCTAAGCGACTCTTAAAATTTTGGTATATTATATATGTGCATATATACATACACACACTAAAAAAAGCATGTGTTTGTATATATATATAGATACCTATCTAATTTCCCTTTAAACTTTTAAGGCTTCAGGAGCTGGTTCTCCCATTCAGTAGCTTTCCAGCTTAAGACGACCTCCATCTCCTTCACTCACAAAACGCTTTCTGCCCCTGTAAGAAAGTAGAAAGTATCTTTTCAGTAATTCAAAGTAGCATCACTTGTTTTTTTGCTTATCTATCACAGAAGAATCTTCTCTTGGTCTTGGGAGTCAAATACAAGGTGCGCAAGTTCAGCAAGATTAGCTGACATTCTTCATCACTGATAAATTGCTTAAAATCCATCAAAATCTTACACCTGGGTTTATTCACAAGAAGCTTTTGAAAATTTGCATTGTCAAATACTTTCTACTTTGCCCACCTTTTAATGTTCACACTAGCAAAAGATGACAGATTGAAAGCCTAGGAATGGTAGTTTTCTACCCAAAACTTAAAAGTACATAAGCCAAAAATGCCTCTCAACATAGTAACTGAAGTATAATCAAGCTTTTGTGCAGTGATGACTTTCAACCCTCCCACACCCTAAAACTGCAAAACATTTGATACCAACACACCTAATTTTAAGTCCACAAAATAACACTAATATTACAAAATCTGAATTTACCACAAGCTGTCAAGATGGTTTAAGAAGCCTAACAAAACACCCAGACTGGAAAAGATCTCTCTAAAAAATAGAATTCCTGATGCAAATAATAGTTTAAACATCATTATTTAAAAATTTACATGTATTCCCTACAGGAAATGAAACTTATTAATTGTATTGTGACCAGATGAGAGAATAGAATATCGATTAGCTACAGTTCAAACAGCATTATTTATGCTGTGAATAAGTAAACAATAACAAACCAAAAGCACTACACCAACCACATGGCAGGCAGATAAAAGGGATTAGGCATGTAGAGTTTATTCCACAGAAGTGTCCTATTCCTTTTGATATAAACATTACAATTGGTTGTCTCATCTTAGAAGTCTACTCATGCATTTGGTATGTTTAAGCGATTTTTTGAGCAATTTTTTTTCACTGTACCTGACAGCTTCCCACTGTCACCTACATGGATCATTGTGGCACCTAAATCTTCCTTCTCAGTACTACACTGATCTCTACCAAGCAAATCAGCAAAACAGAGAAGAGGTAGGCCTTTATCCTCTGGAGAGTGCACAGGCGTGCTGCCTGGAACTCACCAGAGGATTAACTTTCCTCGAGTATTTATCCCAGCCTCCACATAACACATTTCACATCAGTGCAGCTTCTTAATAAAATTTTTACCTGTCCAACCCTCTGTTTCTCTATCCTCCATAGTTTTCACTTCCAATCTGTAATTCTTTGGTCATAAGACCCTGCTCTTTGATACCTACAATGCGGACAAAAAGCAGCACCTTCACCTATCTGTAATTAAACAAGTACCTTGAAGGACAGAGATCTCTCAGTGGTTTGGAGATTATTCCAGCCTGAAAGCATTCCTCTACAAACCGCTCAAGCACAGAGTAAGAATGTGGCACATCCAGGTTAATATCTGGGATTTCACAGTAAACTCGTTCATAGCCCTGCAATGCAAGAATTTAAAAAACATTCTGGTTATTCTATGACTTTATTACAAATTTTGTAAATACTCTTGCACTCAGTAGATGCACTTTTCAATATAGTTTTACATATACTATGGATGTTTCAACAAACCTAAAGCAGAGCAGCTGCAAGTCACTGGAAAAGCCAGGTATAATAGCAGCCAATAGCATGGTATTACACAACTACTTACCTACATTAAAAATACTAGCTGAATTTTTAACTTTTAGAAGTCAGAAATTCAGACAGTATAGAATGTGTGTGTTAGTCTGGCTGCTATTGCATGGGTAGCAACACATGGAAAGAAAGTTAATTTTTCTTCCATGTAAATGAGGAAAATGTGGCCACAAATGTCTACCACATGAGTTTATGCAGTAAGAAAAAAACACTGGTGACAACCAGAGATTACTTCATCACTTCCCATCAGCAGCATGGCTGGGTAAATTTTGACTAAAGTCTTTGTGTGGTACCTAGTTTGCCCTGGGGCAGAGCAGTTGTCCTATATTCATACCTACAAGAAAAATCATGGATGATTCCAACTGTGTAAAATATTAACTGTTCTAATTTGTAATTAAGTGGGTCCTCAGTGTACTTCTTTGATTACAAAGAACTACTGGATAAAAAGAAAATTTATATTTAAGAAAAATGAAGCTATATTGCAGCATTTAAATGATGAGTTTTAACCACTTTATTACATAAAAGCAGTTGGAAATATCTACCTGAAGATTTAAAATATTCTGTACCTCAGTCCTCTATAGAACTACTGCTCAGAATTCGTTTGTACTTCTTCCAGTACATGAGAAGTATTGTACATCTATCAGTGACAGACTATTTGTATGGGATACAGAATGACCATGGAGAATTTTAAAAAAAGTAGCAGTCAGCAACAGGCTACAAATAGTACTTAAAAGAAGGTAAAAACTCTACAAATTTTGGAATGTCTTACCCAAATTTCTCTATATGCCACACTTACTCTTTTCATTTGGTCCATAGTAATGACAGAAGACCTCCAGAGAGATTTCAACAAATCCAGTATCATTTTGAAGGTCTTTTCTCCAGTTGACTCCAAAACCATCACAACAGCCTAAAACAAATCATGCAAATGTTTTAACTAAAAAGAAAATAGTGGTTCAAATACATGTTGCGTAAGCATATGAGAAAAAATACACATTTTCTGGAGAGACAAGTCCATTTGTTACATGCATTCACAATTTCAGTATAGTAGTAGTATTTGAAAAGAGAAATGATGAAGTTATTTAGATAAAGATAAAAGGTATGAAAACCCATAACAGACTAGACAGAGTGAAAAGCATTGCCTTTCTGGCTTCGATTTGAGAGATACATGACTATGTCCATATGGTTGCTGCAGTACAGATGGCAATTATTTGTGAAATTAATTTTGTATCTATGGGGGTTTTTTTGTATCTGAGATTTTAGAAGAACTTAGAAGTTTAAGGATTCTGTTTTTCTATCATGAAGGTATTTTGTAAAAGGAGTCAATCTACTGCAAAGAAAATTTTGTAGTTTGTGGGTGTTAACATTTATTGGTAAACAGTTTGGCAGATAAAACAGTACAAATGGAACAGTCTACCAGATACAGCAAAGCTTATCTTTCTCTCATATAGTCTGGTTCTGAAATATCCCAGAGCTTTTACAAATGTGGTAGATGGAACAATTCCACCCTGAAAAGGAAGCTCTGTAACAAAAACAGGTAACACCCATTAGAATACCCAGGTATCAAACTAAGAGGCACCAAAACAGAGCATGGCTTTCGCTGCAATTCCTCAGCAGAAAATAAATCAAGCTTTTCTTTTTCAGGAATCTATAATAATCTGAATTCAGCTATTTACCCAGCAAACAAAAATTAATTCTGGTTCTTCCCAGAGTAGCAGCAGCTTACTCGTTGCACAACATGCAACACAAACAAGCACAAAACCCATTAACTTTACATGTAACAATTGAGTTTTCAAATAGTATCAGAACTCACAACCTGAGCTTCAGATTCCAGTTATATTACTTGCATGTCCATCAAAGCAAACCCAAACCTGTTGGTATTACTGATAATTATTAAAGAGACTCAGATTTCTCCTTACTTCATATACAAGTTCATGGTGAAAATGGGGTACTTCCAGTTCCTGAAGGCAACGTTCAGCTTCCAGTACATCTCCAGAAAGCAAGTATTCTTTCAGCAACATATCAATCTATTGAATTTTAAAACAAACAAAAAGCCCAACACTAGTTAGATATAAAATTCAAAAGCTGACAACTGTTTTGATAATCTGCAATCAACCAGCAGCAAGTTAGTTCCTGAAACTTGCTGCCAGTGTTTTTATAAATGTTAATTAAATTCAGATGTTATCAGCAACCTGAAACACAGTGTAAGCCAAATACCTATCCACAGTGTTAATACAGACACACAAGCACCAAAAACACTGCTTTGTAAGATGCATATCACCATAAAAGGTTAATATGAGTATGACTAAGTTTATCTTCTCCCCTGAACTCCTTCTATCATCTGTTACACTCACAACTTAGAAATTAGAACATGACCTTTTCCTTTAAACCTGCCTACTTCATAGCATGGATCTCTAAACATTCTGGCTTCTTCCACTCTGTTTTTTTGAATTATTGCTGTGCTTTTAATCACTGATGCCAAAAAATAATAAGTTTATCTAGTTTAGCCAGTTTCATCTTGGCTCTTCTAATTACTTCACCATTTTATATTGTAAGCTCTTAAAAAGCAAAGTGCTTGAAGTTTTGCTTAAAGCAAAAATAAATGTATCCCTGCAATACAGAATATGTACTGGCATGTTCCCACCACTGACAAATACTACAAAATGAACAAAATTATCTACATCAGTTTTTTAAAACTACTTTGTATAAATACTTTTTTTAAAAAGCCAAAACACTCAAGACATCATTTTGTTACAGGATATATGTATCTCTTCAGAACAGTAAACTCAAGAGAAGAGTTCTGTAGAAGTCAGTTACCTCTTTAACAAGGTGTTTCACAGACTGCTGGCCCCCTCCTGCCCCCCACATGTTGTCTATACGCTTTCCACCTTTCGTCACACTCAGCAACACAGTAGCTCGGTCCAGTGCAGCTCTAGAAAGCAAAGTTGGTGTTTCATAATGTTATTACAAAACTTCATTAAAAGACATCTGTAACTTCCCCCACCACCATTCCTCTTTGAGCAAAGTGACAGATCCCTGGGAAGAGGTCAACGTTAGCAACGGCACAGGGCCGTCTGGATCCAGAAACCAGGAAGGTAGCTCCCCACATCCTCTTTGGGCCACCTTTACACTTTTGGTTACACCATGCTAAGGACAGGTAGCAATCCTGTGATGGTAGCACATCTGATTCATCAATGCAGAACCCAAAACATCTTCACAAGAAAGAACTTATTATTTTTTTATGCAGAGATGGATTGTATCAGGGCTCCTCCGAGAATGCAGCTTGGCATGTGTATCTCAAAAGAGGCTTGAGTTGCTTCCACACTAAAGAACAGCTTTTCTACTGAAATACTGTTTTCTGTTTGGGTCTACAAAGAATTACGAAGCCGTGAGAATTTAAGCCAAAACAGCACTTCAGAAAGCAAATAATGCAGTTGCAAAAAGATGGCATGAACTAGGGAAGCTTGCCAGTTTCTTGAGAAAAGAATGAAAAAGGAAGTAAGGTGAAAAAAAGAAGACTCAGATCCAGTTAAGCACCATCCATCTAAAGAAGGTAGAGTTATTCCCAATCCCCATACTGGGGGCTAGCCAATAATGGTAACTCTCTTCACCAAGATTTATCAAGCAGAAAAGACTGGCCAAGAAACGGCAAAAGCAGCAAAGCACCCTGGATGTGCAGTATGCAGGCTACAATCCTTCACATCACGAGAGATATTTGTATAACTGACAGACATTTTTCACAATTCGAACCCTCAAGTTAGGCAGCTAAGCATTTCCCTTCCTTCTCAAAGTACCCAACTATAATTATTACAAATGTAACTTTTAGAAGCTACAAGAGTTCAGCACCTCAGTATCAAGCCTGAAACATACACTTACAGAGAAACAATAATAAAACATGGCTAGTTATTAACATGCCTCTGTCAGAGATTGCTCCTTTAAACTTCACACCCTGACATGGAAAGCAATTACACTTCTTGATGAATAAAGCATTACAGAGAAAGTCTGGGAAAGCACTGCACGAGCTTCAAACCTTTATAAGGCAAAACAGTCAATCCCTTCTGTATTTCACAACATATTTACAGCAGCTGTCCTGATGCTATATATACTCATTAATCACATGAAAGCTTTTTCTAAAGACAAAGCTTTCTATAATAACTTCTTGTTTCAGCTCATTTTTTTTTCACCCTCAAACATAAGCTGGACAACAAATCTGACAAACTGAACTCAAATGGATTAATACATTTTTCAAGCACTTTCCATATTTGTCCTCTGACCAGAGTCATTCTAAACTTTGTTGGTTTTACTACAGTTTGTGGGTCTCTTTTGTAACATTTTAAACTAAAAAATAAGACTTTATAGAGAACCTCATCATTTATCCTGAAGTCCTAAATTCTTGATCATCATCTTTGGCATTTGGAATAGAAAAAACTATTTTGTTTTTTATAAAGCAAGAAAGTTACCGAGCTTGGACGCAATCCACAGTGCCTTTGTAGCCATCTATGTAGGTACTGCTTAGAATCCCATCTCCAACAGCTCTAGCAATAAATTGTCCCACCAACTGCAACAAAACAGAAGCATTTTTAATTAAATGTTGAATTTCAAAGTAGTTCTAAGTAGACAATTATAACATGCTTGGTTTTCAGACTTAATTTAAATGAGCCATCTCAAAGTGAAAACACAGCCTGGGAAATTGGTAGGGGATTACGGACAGCAAGACAATCCATAGATTTCAAAATACAGAGTCTATTTCAGTTTACTTGATCAATTTTAGCAACAATTTAAAAGAAAAAGCTTTTGACTACTAGCATCATACTTTAAAAATATACCTGTGGTGCCCTGGGAGAATCCAACACCAATTCAGGTAGTTCCTTAAGCAATCTATCAAACGATTTTTCCACATCAGTTTTGCTTACTACTGTCCCGCAAAGGTCGGAGATAAGCTTAGAGGTCATTTCCCTGTGACTAGCCTTCCCCTCTAATGCCAAGGAAACAGCCAGCACTGGCACACTGTATTTCATTTCACCGAGGTTTAAATTCTTCAGCATCTCCTAAAATAGATTTGAAAAACAAAACAGATTAAGATTTCATAACTTTTATTATACAGATGTATTACAAATATATGCTTGTTTTTTTACATATATGCTTCTGCTCATGTAATTAATATAACTGCTTAGGTATTCTTATTGCACATTTCTTGCCAACATCTCTACACACTCATTTCTAGCTAGCAGTTAAAATTCCCTTGTATACTACAGGTTTGCCCCCTAAAATAAAGAAGTAAAAATGTATGCAACATACCGAAACTTCGTTAGTATCTCCATGTTCAAAATACTCCTGTATGATTGGTGTTAAAGTTTTTTCAAATGCTCTTTCATCCAGAGGTAAAACTACTGTTTCATAGACACAGTTCTCCTATTTTAGAAGACAACAAAAGCATATACCCTTTTGTAAACAGTACTGTCTCCTCTTACATCTTACACGGTGCTAATAGCATCAAAATGTATCTTCTAAATCCCTAATGCTTGGGTCTTTGTAGTCAGTATTCTGCCAGAAAACATCAGTGTCTCCACCATTAAAGTGTGGACAATGCTGGCTAAATATTATGCTGCTTGTATTTTTAATTTACTGTTAGCTGAATTCAACTGAAAGGCTGAATTTACTCTTTCAACGATGGTAAACACTCCAAAAATTCTCTTCCTAGGATTCTGCTGACACCACATGAATGCAGAGATCAAGCACCAATGTGCTACGTACTGAAGGGAGACCAACAGAAACTCCTGCCCCTGCCCAGCAGTTGTCTGTGCCACAGCACAAGATTTAACTTTCAGCATCTTCCCCTGCAAGTGGCACTTCAGTCCCCGACAGCAAGCCTGTCCATTTTCCCTCTTCCGTAGTGACTGTGTGACCAGACAGGCGGTAGCACGTACAAATCAGAGAAAAGGCATTTTCAGAATATTTGTGAGAGAAGACATTCCCTAAGGGGAAAAAAGAATCACACAGCAACTGCCTCCTGCGTAATGTGGTCCTGCAGAGTTCCAGCACAACCAGATCTCCCTGCCATAATTCAGTTCCCTACTCCTCGGACTACTGAAGTAACATGCAGAGCAATACTACAGATCACAGAAATCCGAACAAAGACGTTTTCCAACTAAGGCTCATTGGAAAGAAGCTTTCTGTGGCCAGGTACAGCTGAAGCCCCAAAGCCTATCCTTCCATCACATCGGTCTCTGTTTATAACCTTAGAAAAGCTAAACATATGGAAGTTCCACAGAATAGTCATTCTTCATGAAACTTTCTTTTATGCACTCAGCTTCATTTTTAAATAGCTGTCTTCATGTAAAGCATTTTGTTGCAGGGTAAAAAAACGATACTGGAAGGTTTTGATATTCCCACATACCATCCTCCCAGCAGCTGTGGCTACAGCAAACCCCTGTTCAAAGGACACCACCACCACTCTGCTTATGGTATACTGAATTTACTTACAGTCTCACAATTGGATTCATCTCAGAGACTTTCATAATTTATGTCTGTAACCTGTATTTCCTTTCCTCAGTGATTTTATGTTATAAACTACCCTTTGTCCAATGAGCTTTAGGGTTGGGTTTTTTTTCTTCCTGATAATATGACTGCAGGGTACAATCTTCTACAACGTATTCTAAATAAATGCATGTGAACACAATACCCAGGCTATCAACTACACACTAGTTTGAAGTGTTTATACCAAGTAGATACAAGACACTGGCAGGGTTGTGAATATAGGGAAGAAGAAAAATCCGTAAAAGATACCGTCCCCTACTAAACTCTCGATTTTCTCAAGTCTGTCTTGCGCTTTTAACATGGTGCCTGTTTGCAATGTAGAGCAGCACTGCAATATTCACGTACAACATTCACCTCCACGGGAAACTGTAGTGAAGAACGCACCTAGGAAAGGTGCTGAGTCTGCTGCCTAGTCTGGCACAGGAGGAGGGCTCGTGGGGTAAGATTTGTGAGTATTACACTGACACTTCCACACCAGTTAGTTGTCTTTAGCCAATGATCCATTTTTTAATAGAAAAATGAGTATTTAACACAGCCAGGCTGACATTCACATAACTCACAAGGTCAAACTTCCATTAATATAAGCATCACAATAATTGAAATCAATAAAGGAAATAAAAACTAACACTACAAAGAGATATTTGCCTACCTGGTCATCATCATAATTAGGATCCTTAATATCTACTTCTTCCACATCATACACTTGACCTGGTGTTCCCCAAACTCCTTTACCACCTGCTCCACCTGGTAAAATACAGGACAGTAAGCAAGGACCACCAGTTTACAAAGAATACTTCTGAGTTCAACTCAACTTCTTTCACTTAGGAGTGAACTATCACTGCTTGTGCCCACCTCCTGACTCATAACAATATATGCTGAAAAGGGCATGTTTGCATGGCATGTTCCCACTTTAGCAACCAGTCTTTTCATCACTTTCCAGTAAGATACTAGAAGCAGTATGAAACTGCACAAGAATTACTGGAGGCTGAAACTGTACTTTCAAACATAACCATGCTTTATGTTTGCATTAGTAACAGTCCTGTGAACCACCAACATTTCAAATTTGTGCATGAAATCTGCTAAGAAAAGGTACTTATCTTAAAGAAATAAATTATTTGATGATACACATATAAAATTTTCTGCTAAGAATGCCACCTACTATTAGCTCCTACTGCCACCTACTATCTAACATAAAGAACCAAATGTCTGCACAGAGACTGTGGTTTATGAAAATGATTCCCAGTAGAAAAAACCCCAAGAAACACAACTGTGTTTTGGCTAGAATCTTTATCGCTCTCCTCTCTTCACTCAGCTACACCAACCTTTCTTTGGTAGACCTCTTCCCTTTCCAGACCGGGATCGCCTGTCCAGGAGTTTCCCCTTTGGGCTCGTTGGTACAACTCCAATCTTCAGTGTCTCTCCATTGTCACTAACAGAGTCTCCTCTCCCAGAATCTCTAGAAGAATTTTTCCTCAACCGTCTCTTTGCTTTAGCATTTATTTTGGCTTCAGTAATTGAAGTTGCAGGAATCCAATTTCCATTGATTTCAGTCTTTTGTTCCTCAGACCCACCATTTTCTTCATCACCAGAAAAGGGAGCATCACTTAGATTCTCAAGTTCTTTAAAAGGAGTCAGAAAAAAATAAATCTGATAATAGTTTTGAACAGTTTTATATTAGAATACCAAAGCACATTGCATTTAAAAATGATTACAACATGAAATAGAACTCTTATTCCCAGTAGGGTTAAGGCTAATGATGTTGGTTTTAAAATACATCAACACATCACAGTAATAAGGAGTTCCTTCTTCCTCTGCACAAACTGTCTACAATCTAAACAGAGCATATGTCAAGTTGGAAAGCAAAGGAATAAACCATTCATAAACAGGTAAACCACAGAAAACCACACCCTTGGTTAAACAAAAACTATCAGATCTTATGCACTGAGGAGTTCTGAGTGCCTAGTTCTCACTCCACCCACTCATCTCTTGATTTAGAAACAAACAAAATTGCCAATATAGTAAATTCTGTACAAACTCACTAATGTTAACAGACCAGTCACAGAAGTGAAATTCATTTCCCAAATCATCAACCAAGATTCCCCTCATTTAAAAAATTTCAAACACAGCTCACCAGCTGGAAAAGCAATCATTTAGACTTAGAAGAATACAAAAGCATCACTACTTTTATTTTTAAAGTTATGGGGGGAAAAGTGCCATTTAATACAAAGCCTAGAGAGTTGGGTCACTAAGACTCATAAAATAAAGTTTTCTGGAAAAGTGTGATCTCCTCTATGGATTGGCCCTCACTGCAGCTCTGTCAAGACTGTTTCTGAAATGGCCACATTTATTCCCCAGAGCAATCATATATAATAGGTAACTAGCTTTGTTTCACACTCAACAAAAAAAATCTCTCACAACTCAAGGATCTGTAAATGTCTCAGAGCACTGGGAAGTGCAATAATTTCACTCTTTCAGGAAGTTAATGCACAATTAAAATTTGGATCTGAAGTCTTTTATTTCACAAAGTCAGGACATCCCCCACCTGAGGTTCAGCAGAATGCCTTACTGAGAGCATTATAAGCAAACACCTTCCTAAGTTCTTCCCCTTCTTAACCCATCAAGATAAAAAAAGCACCTGGGGACCTATTTACATTCCAGTTAGTACACTGTACTCCCTGCAAACTGCGACATACGCATGGAGAGAGAACAGCCTCAGCTCTCTTACACAGTCCTTCTTTTCCTGAGGATTCAGTAGAGTCTCAAAGATAAAACCTGTAGCCCCAACCGTAGGAAGTTCAACAATGAGGCACACAGAAGCAGCTTTTCCAGCTGTGTCAAGACTGCTTTACCAATGCTGTAAATGAATATGCCAAAATATGAAGAGTATTTTAAATGTGTATTTTAACTTATCTGAATGTATTACTTCGCCATTCCAATACATTCCAATTAGCAACGTTCATTTGGCAATGCTTCTCAGAACTGTATTTTTTCAATTCAAAACAGGTTCGTGAAAAATTATTTTGAAAAAAAAAGTGCACTAATAAAACATTCCCAACCTCAAAGTATTTACCCATATCAAAGAGGATACTACACTACAAAATGTAAAAAGTTTGATGCAACTGCCTTCTTTGTGATCAAAGAAATAACATTTAGATACTAGTGTTCACAGATGTAAATGCTATAGCTAAACAATAACACAGCCATTCCAGTCTAAGCTTCCATCTTTTCACTCATTACTCCCACAAAAGCATTTCTTTTATGCTTGCAGCAAGCTAAAAAAAAAAAAAAAGTCCAGGAGAAGTTTCCCTACAACAAGCTTTTTCAGTTTGCCTAACATTTTAATAAAACAATGAGAGATTTGCATAAAGCTAGCAAAAGGGAAAAAAAGCAAAACCAAACAGAACAGGTTTCCTTCCTCTCATTCCCCAGGGAGACCCCATCAGCACAACCAGCTCATCTCAGACAAATTAATTTAAATTCTGCTACATGTCCACTCCTCCATGAATGTCTTCAGTTTAGACCTACAACCTGGCTGTGCAGGAGCTACACTCTTCAATGACCACTTCTTCCTCAGTTTCCAAAGAAAACAGCCAGCCCTGAATCTGACGACTTAGGATAAAAGGGGAGGCTACAGTCCAACCTCCTTACATAATCCTGATCTCAGGGTCGAGACTAAAGGAAATCCTCCACAGGAAACATCCAATCTGTAAGACTTAGTATTTCTCACTGTGTTACTAAACTGGTTTTTATGTAACACTATCACTTCCAGCGATCTTTCTCCATGTTATGATGGACGGGCCCTCCACTACTAGTTAGGCTGAAAAACCAGGCTAAACAGACATACTAGTTTTCAACAATTTTCTAAAATAATTTTATAAAAAGTACATAAAAAGGATGTAGATCTTCCTTTCATCTTCTCACTTTTACACCATATAATGTATTCATACACATATATAAGCAGTAACAGAACAGTGTTCTGTAAACTTTAAGACTTTGCTTACTATATATTAAGAAGTCATCCAGATTTATCTCGTTACCCTAATATTAAGCCTAGCAGGCACACAAACTCTGTGCTTTTATGGTGCAACCTGAATTAACAAAGCATTCAGCAAGGACTTACCCACACACAAATTTCATTTGACCAAATAAGGTCAATTTAGATATCTAGCAGTTTCCCACTTATTATCCAAATATAATTCTAAAATGCTAATAGCAATGTATCTTGTACATTAAACTAATTTTGGTTTAAAATAAGAGGTCATACAGAACATGCTGGCCCTTCAACTACATTACATACCATCTATTTACAATTTTTTTCAGGAGAACACTTAAAACCTATAAAAACTCCTTGGTATAAAAAGGTCAGTAGCGATCACAACCTTTGGAAGACACAGAAAACATGAAACTGTGTTAACTTGACTGCATCATAAAACATACCTGTGATATGGACAGTCAATTTTAGGGCAGTCTTTAACACATATTTGGTAAATTTTTCCCATGCCAGTCCGCTTCCAGTCACGCCTTTCATCATTTGTTTCCTCTAAACTAAACAGCTACATAAAAGCAGAATTTGTACCTCTCAAATGCACCTACACATTTCGATTTTGAGCTTATTCTTTTCTTACAACAGCACTACTGGGATTCAGATAAGAAGTCCAGAGTCATTATTATTTAGTAAGTTAAGAAATGTTAACTTTAGGATTTTACCAAATTTTGAAATACATGTAATCAAGCAGGATACTATGATATATAATTGAAAGAACTATTCTGTAAATTTTTGATAAAGATTTTTTTTTTTTTTTTAAACCAGTACTATTAAAAAATTAACAGGCGATACAGTTTTTCTAAAACGAACACTTCAGGTCAGCTATTAAATTCTGAGTAAAAAAGTACTGAATATATTACTTACCTGTTGGGGTAATATAAATGTGCTCCTTTTCTACTTCCATAGTTGCTTAACAGAACTGGCCGTGAAATGCAAATGCAAGTCTTAACGTCTTCCCTTCAAGGCCTAAACAGGAATGGAGAAGCTTAGGGGAAGAAAAACACTA